GTCTAAGAAAGTATGTTTAAGGAAGTGGTGACATATCATAAAACGACGTGAAACCTATAAAGGAAAGATAGGTGATTAGTAATTGAATATGCGCCAGGTTAAATACATAAGCCTGTGGATGCATCGGAAATTCTGGCTCACTCGGATGAAAATAAAATTCACATGAGGTAACAAAGTTGACCCGATATATTCAACGCCAATGAGGGCGACAGGTTTAAAAAAATTAGGCTGAAGGTACGAAAGAGGGGAATCGAAAGATAGGTATCCACAGCCATGTAAAAAATCTCTATAAGTGAGTAACTGTGGTACAGGAAAAACATGTGGCCTTTATTAGGGAGGGGGCGTAAAAAAGCCAAAAAACTTCACACAGAGTGACACAATGAAAATATAAATAAAAACTGGATTTCGAAGAATTTTTTAGTGAAATATTGTGACATGACTTTCTATTTTGAGGGAAAAGTTTGTTGGAAAGAATCCGTGATGTGGTCTCACCAAAAATCGGAAGAAGATTGCCGCGTAGTAAGAACTTTTTCGCACAATACAAGTCTTCCCTATGCGCCAATCCTGCTTCGATTTCCAGAGCCCAATCACGAAGTCCTACCAACCAAGTGTTCCTTCGAAATAGAAAGCTAATGGAACGAAAATGTCGGCTTTTCCAAACATGTAGATGCTTTGATATGAGCTGTTACCTACTTATGAAAACATAAATATATAGATGTTATAACCAAGTATAGTAATCTTACCTCTTCGGCATCTGGAGAAGAGTCTTCGTCTGACTGAGCAGTGAGACTATCGGAATCTGAAGCCAAGCCTTTCTCCTGCGAAAAGAAGCATTCACTTTCGTTACCCAGGTGAGCGCCAGCGCCAAGATTCTCTCGTTTGTGCGAAATATGGAGTGCGAAATCTTCCGTCTTATTCGAGAGGTTCTGTGCGAGTGGCATCCTAGCAGAAATTGGAGTTACTGAAGATTGAAGAGATGTCAGCTCGTCCTTTTGAACACACATAGCGACGAACAAGCCGCCAGAAGTATTACAGTGATTAGATGGAATTTGGGTTGAGAAACTTGGTGCTATACCGGAGGACATAAGTTTGGATTCATCTACACCAAAGAATTCATTTGGCCTGCTATTTGCGGAAGCAAGAGATGAGAACGAGCATGTAGAAAGAAAAGACGCAGGAGATCGAGGTGGTCGATCGAGGCGAGGCAAATCAAGGCGAGGAGGATGAGAAGCGCCTACAGAAAGTGCAGCCAGCTTGTCAGCTTGTTCGAGTACAGAATCGATAGAAAGTTCTAGGCGGGCGCGCAAACCACCCCAATGTTGAGACTTAGCGCGCTCAACATCGATTGTATTTCGGGAGCCTGTCGAAAAAAGTATAGTAATAATCAGCGTCCCAAAACGTAATTCTCACAAACGTGAGCAAATCCTGTCAGAAAAAGGCGGAAAAGCAGATGAAAACCAACAAACGAGACCCTTACACCTTACACAGTAACCAGTGGAAACAAAGTGCGGAGAGTAAATCAACTCGACGAAAAATGCTTTGCAATGAAATTTTATTGATCGTTATCAAGTTAACGTGATAGTGTAGTTACTTGATAGGCCTAGCTCAACAATTTTCAGGGCAGATTTGTTTTTTTCTTCCAAAGCATACTCATTTGGTTGAAAATATGTATCAAGAAAGTAGACTATATCCAAAGGCACAGTTAGATACTCGGGCATTACAATAGTAATAGGGGAATTTTCTTAAATCATAAACTGACGGTAAAGATCTCTTCGGGGTACCAGAGAATAAAGATTAGTTTACATAGTAGTCAAGTGTGAGCTTATGAATAGCTCCCAATCGTGCATTTTTGGCTCCCAATCTTAATAAATACTTTGTAGAATAATTGCAGCAGGTTAAATAAGATAAAACTTACAAGAATACCAACTTTGGAGTAGTATAAGACAATAAGTATATCTCATAAGTTTACAGAGCTCATTAATCGTTTACGGTGATAGAGCAGAGTATTCGCAATCATTTATCATACAAA